CACACCACAGCTGGTGAGAATGCTCTGATTGGACTCTTTGAATGGAAACTGGACCACGTTGGTTCCGTAGTCAGTGTAAATAATAATAATAATAATAATAATAATAATAATAATAATAATAATAATAATAATGCATTGAACTTATATAGCGCTTTTCAAGACCCCCAAAGACGCTTTCACACACTCACATTCACACACTGCTAGTGATGGTAAGCTACTTGTAGCCACAGCCGCCCTGGGGAGGTCTGACAGAGGCGAGGCTGCTATTTGGCGCCGTCGGCCCCTCTGACCACCACTAACAAACAAGGCATCCGACCAACAGCAGCATGTAAAAATGCAAAAAGGATCTCAAAAATGAACTAAACATGTTAAAGTCGCTTTTTTATTGTGTTTGTGTTCATTTTATTTAGAATTTTAGGCTAAGAGGAAAGCTGCTGGATGCAAAAGCTCAGTTACTTCAGGCCATTGGTTTCTCAGTCCTGAATGACGTTTATTAAAAGTGTTACTTAATTCTGACGTGTGTGTCGCTGATAGAGTAGTTTGTCTTATTAGTTTATAAATTCCAATAAATAATTAAAGGTTAAGAAAGTTAAAGACATAAAAATCACACCTGAAATATTCTAAAATGCAAATCAAAAACATATTTTTATGTTTAGTAACTACAAACATACATTCTGGTAGAGACACAGAACAGTCTTCAAACATAAATACACGATAGTGTGATTTTCTAAAACAATCATTTAAAGGTTTAAATGTTTACATAATTTAATGCTGAAAGGAAATAAGATGTGGTGACGCCACCGGAGGCGCTTGGGCTAAGAGCAATCCCATCTTTGAAGGAAGCTGCTGTAAAACTGGGAGAAAGAGATAAGCTGAAGAAGTAGAATTAAAACCAACAATATTCCAACAAAACATCCCAAAGGAGCGTGTAAATGTCTGACATCTGCAGCGATTAACCTCGACAAACCTTCTGGTGCCGTGCCACAACGTGGTGGTTTGCCAAAACGAAAACCGCTGAGCTTCAATCAATAACGCATTAAAAAAGGGACAAGATAGTCCATCCGTTACTGATTAATAACATGTAAATGAGAAAAATGGATAGTGTTATTTTACGAGTCAAGATGGATAATTGTTTGTTCAACAGCAGTACAGATGTCTGTATTCAGCCCATTACGTGTCGTCCAATAACTTCATCCAGCAACACACCTCTCTCTTCATCCAATAAGTCAAAGAAATCTGAAATGTTCTCCTCATCCCTGCGGTATAATCAGCTGTCATTTGTTTACACGAGAAGGCCTGGAGACAAATCATCCAGATCTCACAAATGATCCTGAGAATAATTTTGTTTTTTTATGAGCGTGTAGAAAGAGAAAAAGGGACGGAACAACGGGAAACCATCCTGAAGGTTACATCCAATCTGACATGAGGGAGATGACTGATACACAGGGACCAATCCTGAATTGGGAAATCATAAAATTGATCCAAATGAGGTTTTAAAAAAAATCAATTTCAACCCTCAGCGAGAATTCGAGAGACATCCTGAAATCACGAACGCCGGTGCAGCTCTGGGAAGAAAAAAGTGACAAAATAATCATCTTACGGATCTCCGTCTTCTGTTCGGCTTTGTCTCCTCTTTGTGAGCGCGGCGCCTAATGACTCGCCTAAAATCCACTGATGTAAAAGACACCAACGAAAGAAAAGATGAAAGAGTGGTGGTTTCCAAAGGCAACTCTTAGTGATTGCTGCCGCATGTAAGGATCTTTACAAGCCCGCTTCACACACACACACACACACACACACACACACACACACACACACACACACACACACTCCCTCTCTTTTCTTTGTGCATGCTAAATTAGCATCAGTAGGCTGAGGGGATTTTTTACATCAGGTCTAATTTTCACCCGTCCTAATGGACTTACATAACCCAGTCTTTGTTTTCAGTCACAACTATACGTGTAATCAGATTTAGCCCTGAAGCCCGAGGAGCAGATGTTAGTATCCAGATGTGTACAGTGCAGCTGCGGTTTGTGACATTCATCTGCGCCCACCGAAGCGTGATCGGTTTGTTGACAACCTCTGGGTCACAGCTAGTAACGACAACAAATCAGCCACATGAGAGACCACTCATCACCGAGCACACATGGGGAACCGCAGCTAGAAACAGATTCAGCCTGTCATCTCAGATCAAGAGCAACGTCGTCGCCTTCCTGTCACTAATATAATAAATATAAAGTTTCAGCTTTCAAATTACAGCCAATCACGCGAGGGAGGGGGGTTTGGGTTTTCAGCATCTGAGAGCGGATCAGAGCAGCTGTGTCCGCTCTCAGCCACCTCAGATGTGTTGATTTCCAAACACACATCATGAACCCTTCAGCTGTCCAGATACCTTCATCTGGAAGCTGTGATCTCCCTCTTCAATGTCACACTGACACATCCAGTCGGAACTGATGCTAAATAAATATTTTTTTCCTAATATCTTTCTGTGTTGGCGCGGGTCTTTCTGCCGTCAGTGTTTTCTAAAAAAAAAAAAAAAGCATCTGAATTTGTTTCTGAGGAGTTGTGATTACTGGCATTTTTCACAAAAAAAGTCATGTTTGGTAAACGAGGAGCTACTGAAGGATGGTGAGAAAATGTGAAACAGGCCAGAACTACACCTGCAAACTGTCATGATCCACCCTGGCCTCCCTGACTGTGTCTCTCCTGCCTTGATTACCCTTATTGTTCTCACCTGTCCCTCATTACTCTGCCCATGTGTTCCTGATTCCCTTGTGCATTTATACCTCCCTCCTTGTTGCTGTCTTCGTCGGATCATTGTCGTTTTGTGCATGTTTGTTTGTCCTGTCACTCGCGTTCTACAATTAAACATATTTTTATTATTTCATCCGTTGCCTGCTCTTCTGCCTCCTGAAACCCACCACCACACATGGTCTGCCATCTCCACCCGCAGAACATGACACAAACAGCCAATTATAGATTAAATAGGCATACCATTTCACCAATTGCATTGGTTGTTGTTTAGAATTTGACTAATAATTATTGACAGAGAAGCGTTCGATAGGCAAAATATTAAAACACAATTTGTCAACTGGTGGCTCCTGGGCCAAATCCAGGCCGTTAGACCATCATATCTGGCCCAGAATTTTTAAATGTAATAATCACATATCCATCAAACATCGAGTGGAGAAAAAATGCTAAAACAGAAAAAGATGAAATGCCGCTAAGTTAAGCCAATGCAAATGAGTATCTTTACGCTAACTACGTTAGCAACATTAAGCTGATTTTGAATTAGAACAGAAAACGTGGCACGGCCCAAATACCACATGTTTTGTTTTTGACGGAACAAAAGCCACAGCCATTGCAAATGCTCTGAAATCTTCAAAGACACACTTGGAAATTCAACAGATTTAGGTGAAACGTAGTTCCTGCTCTCAACTCTTCTCCTTGCACCGTTCTTGCTATGTGTCGGTATTTTATAGCGAGAGCAGCACAATCACATTTTTACTCAAATTTTACATTCTTGTGCCATGACTCTAATCTAAAAGCTAGTTGCAACCTTCTGGTTGAATCGTAAGGCCAACACTGTCCTTTTCATGGGGGCTGCCATGTTGGATTTTTGTAGCATTTCTACAGATTAGTTTATAGTCTAGTGAGAAAAAATGAGTATTGGACCCTTAGAGGTCAAAGGTGTCCTTGCTACTAGAGTTGAGTTGACATTGAGTCCTATAATGTTAACCTCTTTGCATTAATAAGCTCAAACAGTTTTCTGGTTGTTACTTCATGTGATACATGAGATGAAAATGGTTCTGAAACCTCTTATGTGTGAACAGGAAAGCCAAGTTGACCTGCTGATGTCGTGTTTTCTGCTCAGCTGTCTGAGTGTGCAACAGAGATCGGATTACTCAGGAACCACGTCCCTGCAAATATTAAGACCTGTCAGTACCTAAACCACAGCTTTGAAGCCAAGAATAAACAAACAAGTAAAAAAGCCAAAAGAAACTGGCTACTTTTCCCCTCTTCAGTTTCCAAAGCATGATTTCATCAAAGCATATTTCAGATTTTAAATTAGGGAACCATAAACATGTTGCAAGTAATAAAACTTGAGTTACGGATGAAACAACTTCCTGTTGGGAGTCAGATTGCGTGTTGATGTAAACCGACTCATCCTCTTTTATCTTTCATGTTTCCTGATGAAGAAGCAGCAGCTGTGACCCACGGCGCCACAGGATGAGGAGGAAGAGTTCACATGGGCGATGTGGCATGTGCACCTACATATGTGGAGATGGACTTGTTTTGGCTGAGAAACTAAAGCCAGTGCCAGGTGTGTGTCACACACACCTTTCAGCGCCGGCTTAAACCCGTCTCCCAACAATGTGCCAGTTAGAGACTGGGCCTGGTGCCTGTTCTTCCAGGTGCGATACACACATGGAATATCTGATGATCACTGATGTTAGCACCTTTTATAGAGGACTTTTCTGATTCTGAGCTGGTTTAATTCGTCCGTTAACAAATTATTCCACAAACTATTGAACAAATATGAATGTGCTCTTTAAACATTTAGATTTTGGGGTCAAGAAGTCAAGATGATTCAATGAGACCACCACTTCTGACTGACGGCCAGCCCAGATATGGATATAACTCTACAGATTTTAAAGGTGAGACACAAAAATGGCACCAAATCGATTAAATGATTCAGAGACTGAGCAACACGAGCTACACGATAGAAGCTGATAGCAAAACATTAGCAATTTCCAAGATTTGGCCTGAACACCTTTAACTCCAATTATTTGTCAGATTCATGAAACTAGCAATACAGATGGATGGTGACTGATCACGACTGCTCAACTGTCCAGTCGTTTCTTTTCAAATCAAATCAATCATACATAAGAGAAAATTATGCCTATGGAATAGAATATTCTGTTTTCTTGCTTGTTCTACGGCAGGATTGGAGGTTTCCAACCGAACAGCATGGTTCTACGTTTGGAAAGGAAACTCACTGCTTATCCATTTGGCGTTTGGGTCATGAACCTTTAAGTCTTTTCTGAAGAGGTCTCCAACCGTGACTTTGCCTTTAAGAGCCAGATGGTCATCTTCACCTGCAGGGAAAACAACCAAAGTTTTAATAAAGTTTAATATAACAGAATATGGTAGGCAAATCCTCCAAAATACAGATTAAATTACTCCTCAGACATCAGAAGACTCGAGATATCAAGGTAAACGCCAATAAAGCTTTCAGTTCAACGATGAAGGACTTTTAAAGACATTTTCACTTAAAAACAGCATTTTTAGACCAGCATTCTTCCACTTTACTTTAAGACATGGGCTGTGGTCCAGTCCTAGGGATGTACCCTCCCAAGGCCATATGTGAAAGTGGACTGTGTCACATGGAAGCAGCATGTCCAAAGTCGAAGGTTCCTCTAAATGCAGCCGACAAATGCAGCCTCCTTTTTCTTGGATTTGAAGGATGGGTCTGGTGTTCCCTTGTTGGCCAACTCTATTCCAGGATTCATGATGGGGGTTTTGTTTTTAAACGAGAGACGATTACAGTTTTAAATGTTTTCTGGTGGAACTAAATGTAAAAGCTGTTGTGTTGCTAAGATTTTAAATTTGTATAGTTTTTTTCTTGTAAAAAATTGTAAAACTCATCAAACAAGCTTGAATGGCAGGTCCCGTGTTACATTATTCATTGTAGATAAGTTTAGTTTTAACTCGTTCACTGCCATTGACGACTAAAGTCGTCATTGGCATTTTTTTTTGCTGTTAGGGCGTCGGAACGAGCCCCCGCGCCGAGAGAACAAACATCTTAGCTCTAAAGCCGATCTTCATCCACGTACGTCACACATCACATGATCAGGAAGCAGAACATCCATGTGTTAGGAGATCATTTTGGGCCGCTGCTGTAAAAAAAGTGAGGCGCAAACCGGAAAAGCTTCTGCCGATCACAATTCAACAACGGATTATGAAAGAACGGATAACGCTCGAAACACGCGGATTCTTCCTGATGTAAGAGGTGAGTCTCTGCTTTGTTTTGGCGTCGACATCCTAGCGCACAACGTTCTGTGACTCTTAAAAAAACAATAAAAACTGTGAGAAACGCTGGCAGCGAAGGGCTTTACCGATCAGGAAACGGCCGGCAGTGAATGAGTTAACTCTTGTTTAGCGCTGTCACGATTTCTAAGACACATGCTGACGTAAGGGCGGGTAAAATTTGAAGGCTACCATCCACAGCCGCTCACTTCCTGTCTTTGTGGTTGGCGAAGGACCCAACCTGTGAACAGGGTGGGTCGGTTCCTTACAAGGAGGCTACCCCTGATTTTGGACACTGAAACAACTGAAAGTACCAAGCTGGTTCTGATACTTTACAATAATGTTGCAGACGTGTAAATGAGGCGGATGATGAATGGATTATTAGGACAAATATAACACAGGGTATGTGCAGGTATAAGGGAGCCAAATTTAAGACTTTTTAAGACCTTTTTAAGGCCACTTTGACCAAATTTAAGCAATTTTTTAAAATTCAATTTAAGCTATAATTTCAAGCTATTGCCTGGAACCGGTGCTAACCATGTCGCCAACGTGGGATAAGCCATCCAGTTACCATCAAACTTTCACTTCCCATGGCGCAAGCTCCCACTAGCTTAACCAGCTAATGTGCTCATCTAAAAATAGCCCCCTTTCACAACCAACTGAATATGTATGGTTCCGCTTACGCCAATATCATACACAAAAAATGCTGAACACTAACTAGAAATTTATGAAAATTTTATAGAAATAACAGAATCTTGTTTATTAGGTCTTTGGACATTTAAGACCTTTGGAAACTGTATTTAAGGATTATTTGTCATTTTTAAGGATTTTTAAGGCCTTAAATTTGGAAAAGCAAATTTAAGACTTTTTAAGGACCCGCGGATACCCTGATAACAAATGTAAGCCACTTCCAGACTTGAACACCTTTACAGTAATCTGATGAAAACAGATTGTGTGACACTCATCTTTAAATATGAAATCCTGAGACTTTTCCTGATTTAAAAAAAAACATTTCAAAAATTGAGATTTTATTACACTGAGGACCACAACCCCATTTATCTATTTTTATACACTCAATTTCTTTAGTGCACTAAGAGTGCAGCACAACAGTTGGAAGGTGGTGAAGTCATAACACCAGTTGATGCTTGAAAGGAAGTCATTTTGTACAAGGAATCATCTACAAAAGGTTGGTCTGAAAGGCACGAACGACCTCCAGTTTGAGTGAGACTAAACAAATCACTGAAATGTTAAAAAACCAAATTGCTCAAGGAAAGGCCGTATGGGATTTGCATATTTCTTCTTCTACATTGCATAATCCGTTTTATGTTAATGGGACTGTGTGTCAGTGCCCTTGGCAAATGCTGTTCAGTCATGGTGTCTTTATTGTTTTCATAAGACACTGTCATGATGGAGGTAAGAACATCGAAACTGAAAGCTGCATAAGTCACCTTCAACAAACACATTTATCAACGTTGTTTGGAGTAAAATAAAAACTAAATAAAGAAAAGTGGTTTTTGTGTCACAGGTGCAATCCTTAGAAAGATGTAGAGCGATCACACAAACAACTAAAAGGCCACTACACTAAAATATATCCTGTATTGTCCAGATTTCTAAAAATGTTAAAGCCACACTAGGTGACTCATATTTGTAAATCATTTTCTTGAGCCAGTTTGTGCTAAAATGACCTTTTATAGCAGGGGTGCCCAATCCTGGTCCTGGAGGGCTGGTATCTAGCAGGTTTTGTGGTTTCTCTGCTCCAACACGCTTGATTCAGTGGCTGAATCACCTGTGAAGCAGCTCATCAGGCTCTGCAGAAGCCTGTTAATCACCTGCTGATTGAATTCAGGTGTGTTGAAGAAGGGTTAAGACTAAAACTGGCTGGATACCGGATCTCCAGGACCAGGAATGGGCACACTCAGACCTCCACGGCTCCCCGTGGCCAGAACTTGCAACTTCAGAGTGGCAGTCCGTTCCTTGTTGGACTTAGTAAAGTGGAGCTGACATGCCAGCGCTGACTGGAATCTGCTTCCAGCAGGTTTTGTATCTTGAACACAGCTGATTTATTTGATTTAGCGATGAAACACACTTGTAGACATGAATGAAGGCTGGGGAGACATTTCAGCTGTTAGATTAAGGTGTTAAAAAGACCAGCACACAGCGAGGAGGAGAGTTTCACATTTGCTTTGACTAACCGACACTAGGGGGCGCTACATGCAAGCCAAAACTGCTAAGTGTCCCTTAAATTTAGTGAAAATCTGTATTTGAGGAAAGCTCGTTGTTAAACCTCAATCAGGAACAAGGGATTGGTTCCGACTACATCAAATCTAACACTGTTGTTTATAATCACCTTACAGGCACCCACTTTAAACCATCATAATTAACATTTTATGCCAATTAATGACTAAATTATTATTTTTGGCCATTTCAGTTTATTAAAAACAAATCTAATCTCCTTTTGGTGACATGCTGTGTAACCCATGACTCATTTTGTTTGTTCTGTTGTATATATGAGCTCTGAGTGACCACAGCCATGTAGAATATTCAGGTAAAGTTCCTTAAAGTTCGGGTAAAACTTTGTTTAAATCTAACTTTTATCAAAACAGAAATGTCTTAAAGCAAACTTTACATCATGAGCCTTTGGGGCTGGAGACCGACGTTATTCTAAGATGAGGCAGATATGGCAGGAAAGTGTTTTATAAAAGTTTAGGGGGGAAAAGGTGAAATAAGTGATTTATAAAAATAAAAAATAAGGCACAGAGGTAAGATCAACTTTTTTTTTACTCCTGACAACAAAACATGAGAATCCATAAGGTGTTTTTGTCACTTCCTTATCTCACAAGGCGTCCTAACAACTTTTTCCCCACAGGCTGTTCACCTTTCAAAGAACAAAAACCTTATCAGAGCCAGAAAAATAAATACATAAAAAGCCACATGAGAGTATAATAACAAAGGAAGAGCTTCGTAACTCCCTCAGGGTTTTGACAAAACCAGATTGTCAGCAGATATTTACGGCAGATGCCTCCTGCTATTCATTTCAGCTTAATTTCATCCATCAATGCTCATCATATCATCTCCTTCTCCATAAAAAGCACTGAGTCAGAAGATAAAAAGGAATAAAAAAATGCATTCAGTGTAATTTGTATTTGTTTCAAGTGCTTTCTCATCTTTTATTTTTATACCAGTTTTGCTTTAAAGTGGTGCAAAAATTCCTTCTTAACAGCTCGACTGTGACTTCAATTCTCCTCAAGCCGTCATCACCAACACACAATCAAGATATTCAGATGAAATGCATGCTGGGAGAAAGGCCATGCAGGACGACACAGAATATAGTAGGGGTAGCATGACTTCAATTTTTGTTAAGCCGACAGTCAAGTTACGAAAATCGAGTCGACTTTGACTAGTCGTTGATGACGTCATACACCTGAAGCGGTTGGTTCGCTGGAGTTTTTGACAATTAAAATTGCGCCCACATTTTCTAAGTTAAACACGTCTCTTTTAACAACGGTAGTTTCTGCATCTATACTGCTCCGCTTCAGCCCTCCCCCCCTCCCCCTGCTTCAGTTCTCTCCCCCTGCTTCAGTTCTCTCCCCCCTCCCCCCGCTTCAGCCCTCTCCCCCCTCCCCCTGCTTCACCCCTCTCTCCTCTCCCCCTGCTTCAGTTCTCTCCCCCCTCCCCCCGCTTCAGCCCTCTCCCCCCGCTTCAGCCCTCTCCCCCCTCCCCCCGCTTCAGCCCTCTCCCCCCTCCCCCGCTTCAGTTCTCCCCCCCTCCCCCCGCTTCAGCCCTCTCCCCCTCCCCCCGCTTCAGCCCTCTCCCCCTCCCCCTGCTTCACCCCTCTCTCCCCTCCCCCTGCTTCAGCCCTCTCCCCCCTCCCCCTGCTTCAGCCCTCTCCCCCCTCCCCCTGCTTCAGCCCTCTCCCTCCTCCCCCTGCTTCAGCCCTCTCCCCCCTCCCCCGGCTTCAGCCCTCTCCCCCCTCCCCCTGCGCAGCGGCCGCAAACTCACTGATGCGCCTGCAGCCTCTCAGAGTTCCTGCTGCTCTAAACATTAAAATAATTATTTCATTTTCTGTTCC